CCATCTGTAAACATTGAAATTGACAATTAACCATTGACTTTTGCCCACTCAAAGACTTCATACTTGGAGAAGCCCTGCATCAAAGACACAGATACCTTCATTAAAATGAACGATCAGTGTTATTGCCATACTTAGAGAACTCCCAGCTGGGTATATTTGCTTTTTTCTTTTCCGCTGGGAAGTAGTAATTGCCAGTTCACCCTGTTTTACAATGTAATGACTGTGAAATTAGAGTTAGATTAGTGATTTAAAACTCAACCTTTATGTCATAACATGCGTTGTACGAAACCTTATCCCACCTTGGAAACGTGACATTTGCTGATTTAGTATTACGGGATTTAAATAAAATGTATTACTAAAATGCCCTATTGATGTGCTGCTGACATGGAAGCTGATGTTGGCTTGCCTACTTTCTCAGCCGTCAGCTTACAGGCAGGTCTATGGAAACCAGTTGCATTCAAGGCAAAGACAGCTGGCCAAGCAGTTGTCAAAACGTATAGGTCAGAATGACAAGTGCATCACTGGTCTCTCTGAACATCTCAATAAAATACACTACTTTGCATTGTCCTCTTGATAACAACAAGGCTATTTGCTGAAATGTTGTGCTTGCTCATTGTTTGGTGTAGCCTATTCTATGATTATTCATCCGCTGCTTAGCATATTGCATGGTTACTCTTTGAAACCCTGATGAAGACAGCTTGCCGTCGAAACGTTGGTGAATAAATTATTGCATCGGAGCTACTTGGAATGGGCATGAGTACTCGAACGGACGTCAAAGCTTGATCTTTAACCAGAGATTTAAAAAAAATATATAATCAAATACTGTTAAACTATTTGGTGGAATGTGCTTTGTGGCTTCCCGAACGGAAAATTGACATTTTGTCTTAAAGACAATGTTAACTAGCTTTGACTCTAGTGTTCCATTTGTAAATGTGCATTTGCGGGGCACAACAAAAAATAAACCAAGCCAAGCATCACACAGTTCTTCTCCCTAAATTCCCTTTCCCCTCCATGTCTCATTCACTTAATTGCATTCTGACCGCTGACACACACATGCTGAGTGCACACACAAGCTCCTGTTAGGCCTACAGAAATAAATGGCTATAAAAATGTAACCCTGAAAAACTCACCAAATCGAGCCACGTTTCAAATGATCAATAAGTGTTAAACAAATCAAAATATATTTTATATTTGAGATTCTTCAAATAGCCACCCTTTGCCTTGATGACAGCTTTGCACACTCTTGGCATTCTCTCAACCAGCTTCACCTGGAATGCTTTTCCAACAGTCTTGATGGAGTTCCCACAAATGCTGAACACTTGTTGGCTGCGTTTCCTTCACTCTGCCGTCCAACTCATCCCAAACCATCTCAATTGAGGTAATCTGATGCAGCATTCCATCACTCTTCTTCTTGGTAAAATAGCCCTTACACAGCCTGGAGGTGTGTTGGGTGATTGTCCTGTTGAAAAACAAATGATAGTCCCACTAAGCCAAAACCAGATGGGATGGCGTATCGCTGCAGAACGCTGTAGTAGCCATGCTGGTTAAGTGTGCCTTGAATTCTAAATACATTGCAGACAGTGTCACCAGCAAAGCACCCACACACCATAACACCACCTCCTTCATGTTTTACGGTGGGAAATACTCATGCGGAGATCATCCGTTCACCCACACCGCGTCTCACAATGACACGGCGGTTTGAACCGAAAATCTCCAATTTGGACTCCAGACCAAAGGACAGATTTCCACCGGTCTAATGTCCATTGCTCGGGTTTCTCGTCTTCTTATTGGTATCCTTTAGTAGTGGTTTCTTTGCAGCAATTCGACCATGAAGGCCTGATTTCACACAGTCCCCTCTGAACAGTTGATGTTGAGATGTGTCTGTGACTTGAACTCTGTGAAGCATTTATTTGGGCTGCAATTTCTGAGGCTGGTAACTCTAATGAACTTATCGTCTGCAGCAGAGGTAACTTTGGGTCTTCCATTCCTGTGGCGGTCCAAATGAGAGCCAGTTTCATCATAGCGCTTGATGGTTTTTGCAACTGCACTTGAAGAAACTTTCAAAGTTCTTGAAATGTTCTGGATTGACTGACCTTCATGTCTTAAAGTAATGATGGACTGTCATTTCTCTTTGCTTATTTGAGCTGTTCTTGTCATAATATGGACTTTGGTCTTTTACCAAATAGGGCTATCTTCTGTATACCCCCCGTACCTTGTCACAACACAACTAATTGGGTCAAACGCATTAAGACGGAAATAAATTCCACAAATTAACTTTTAAGATAGCACACCTGTTAATTGAAATGCATTCCAGGTGACTACCTCATGAAGCTGGTTGAGAGAATGCCAAGAGTGTGCATAGCTGTCATCAAGGGAAAGGGTGGCTATTTGAAGAATCTCAAATATAAAATATATTTTGAATTGTTTAACACTTATTTGGTTACTACATGATTCCATATGTGTTATTTCATAGTTTTGATGTCTTCACTATTATTCTACAATGTAGAAAATTTTAAAAAATAAAGAAAAACCCTTGAATGAGTAGGTGTGTCCAAACTTTTGACTGGTAGTGTATATGGGTCAATTTAGCAATTAGGCTGTATTATCTCTAATGGTTATGATAAATGAGGCATTATAGGGCGGCAGGTAGCTTAGTGGGTAAGAGCGTTGTGCCAGTAACCGAAAGGTCGCTGGTTCTAATCCCCGAGCTGACTAGGTGAAAAATCTGTCGATGTGCCCTTAAGCAAGGCACTTAACCCTAATTGCTCCTGTAAGTCGCTCTGGATAAGAGCGTCTGCTAAATGACTAAAATGTAAAATGTAAAATGCATTGTCGCACACTTGACATAGGCCTATAAATAAATGCACACATTTCTTTACAGTGTGGGCCTTATGTTCTAAAGATAGGTTTCATTTGAGTACTTGACCAGTCAGAAAATGTCAAATGCCCATCCCTACTAGTGTACAGCTTTTCCTGTTCTTTTAAAGCACTCTTTGAAGAATGGCAAATTATTTTGCCATGTTTTTTGGCTAGACAGGCTCTAGGCTACAAGCTGATCTAGTGGCTCATCTTTTAATTTCCTAAGGGACAGCAGCATCCATCACCCTGTGTGCATTTAAATTGCCAATGTGTGGGAGGTGGAAGGTATGATCTTCATTAGAGCGGCGGACACCTACCTGGGTGCTGGTCCGAAAGCGTTTTCCACCTGCCTGTCTTACTTTGTGTAGCTAATGACTTTGATCTCACTGGATTCATGATTGTTGTTCTGTCCCGGTTGGAGACAGCTCATTATTAAGGCTCTTACTGAGGTCCTTCAGAGGCTCACACGTCAGGCTCTAGACTACACATTCAAAGCATCAGTGTGCTGCCTTTTGTTCTGCCTTTTCTCGGCATTGCTCTTATTTTGAGTGGCTTCTTCCAGGCAATGTTTTGTGTTTATATGTCTATAGCCTAGTCCAGGGGTTGGCCACAGGCGGCCCTTGGCCCGCGAGTGATTTACATTTTTTGGGCCAAAAGGTTTCTAGTCAAAATAAAAAATATAGATTTGGGGTGGGGGGTATGAAAGGATTGTTATTTTCCAATCTCTTTAGTGCTTAGTTGTGGTCAATTTACAGTGTAAAAACAATATTATAATTATGTTCCGGCCCGCCCAACCATCCACTCCGACCAAAATCGGCCCATGGCTGAATCTAGTTGCCTAGTCCTATGTGTTATTTCCCACATCTTCATTCATGTATCACATGTCAATAGAATCTCTGTCAATTAGGTAGGGAGCTTTAGAGTTATTTTGTTGGTTGGAAACTGCAGCACTGTAAGCCCAGAGTTGTTGAACTTGGCAATGGCCTCTCAAACATTGAGTGTGTATCAAAAAGTTGCACACAGGGAAGGCTTTAAGGCTCATGGGACCGTCCTTCACCAGATGTCTGGGTGTGCGCATGTTTTCAATCGCTGAATACTGAGAGAAGAGCGCTAATGGTCCAGAGCCTGGATGCATAAAATCAAAGGATGCAAGGATCTGGCAACATGGAGGAGAGGGTGGACGGACAGCATGTGTTGAAAACATGAGCCAAGACTGTGCCTCCAGGCTGCTATGTGCTGAGTAATACAATGCTAAGGAGACAATAACAATTATGCTAATATTTACACAGCCTCTTTCACGGACTTGCACTGTTGAGAGGTTGAATCATTTCACTCAAAGTGAGCGTCATAACTCACGAGAAGAACGTGAAAACAATCAAGTGAGGCGCAAGTTTTAAAACCAGTAAGGCTCTATTACTAGAGGTTGTCAGACAATATGCTGGACAAATGGACACTTTGGGTGATTTAGGGTAGCCTACTTTAATTTGAAAGACCTCACCCTGAACCTAAAAAAGTGTTATGTTCATGTAACATACAGTTCACCATGTGAATTGCTGTTCGGGGATTATAAAGAGAAAGAATCTAACTTTGTGCTTGAACACAGTGTACAAAACATTAGGAACACCTGCTCTTTCCATGACAGACTGAAGCTATGATCCCTTATTGATGTCACCTGTTACATCCACTACAATCAGTGTAGATTAAGGGGGGGCAGGTTAAGCCTTGAGACAGTTGAGACATGGATTGTGTATGTGTGCCATTCAGAGGGTGAATGGGCAAGACAAAATATTTAAGTGCCTTTGAACGGGGTATGGTAGTAGGTGGCAGGCACACCGGTTTGAGTGTGTCAAGAACTGCAATGCTGCTGAGTTTTTCACGCTCAACAGTTTCCCGTGTGTGTCAAGAATGGTCCGTCACCCAAAGGACATCCATCCAACTTGACACAACTGTGGGAAGCATTGGAGTAAATATGGACCAGCATCCCTGTGGAATGCTTTCGACACCTTGTAGTCCATGCCCCCGACGAGTTGAGGCTGTTCTGAGGGCACTCAGTGTATTTCTGTGAAACATGAAGCGTCGTTATCACCACTGACACATTTGCTGTGAGATAAAATAGTGATACCTTTTTCCTTCTCTTTAAGGTCGGCTTTATGCCATGCAGACGGGAATGAAACTGGACAGCAAAACCCCAGAATGTCGGAAGTTTCTTGTGCAACTGATGGATCAGTTAGAAACAGTAAGATACTTTGTCAGCTACACTAAAGGTTGGAAACATTCTTTGGAATGTTTAAACAGATTTGCACACAATGACACATTTATCTACTATTTCCCAGTTGTCTTCACATTATAATTTGTTGATTTTAATTGATTTTGGGTAAGATATCATAATGTAGTTATCATAATGTACTACTTCACATTCCTTGTTAATCCTATCTATTTCCTCTATTCTGTACTAATATCCACCAAATGAAGCTTATCATGCCGTGAATGTCTGAGGGCACTTTAGTAATGAATATCTTCCAACCCATTGGCCGCTAAGAGCACTTTAGGAGTCTTGACATTTGACTATTTTCAAAGCTAGTCAGGGACAGGCCTTTCAGCAGATTCAGTTTCCTTTCAGAAGTGGATTATGGCACTGACTCTCAAAAAGGACATTAACAGCAAAGTGGCAGCCTCCCGTGATTGTTCTGCGAACATGATTGAAATGTCTGCACCTCATCATTTTCAATTATAGGAGTGAAATACTCTTTGATTCCACTAAACATCTATAATATAATTGCCTTATGATCTAAATATAGGATGGATTATTTGATTTACTTTGTCAAAGTTCTCAAAAGGTGAATGCCAAATGTAATTTCTGCTGTTTTAAAGGTCTAGCAGTTATGCTTTAGCTTGTCCATCAGATATTCACATCTCTAATAGATAATAATGTAGCCCCCAAATTCGATTAGGAGAAATTGGAATCTTTCAGAAAGTTGGCTCACACATTTAGTCAAAGCTTAGGTAAGACCGCAATCTGAACCACCATTTAGTTATGGAATGCATGCGTTTTGAATAATGGATTCCTTCAGAAATGTACTTCAGAAATCCTTTGAGTGGAGTTGTGAGTCATGCAATGAAAAAAAACATCTACTTAGAGGTTTTATTGTAATTTTTTATTTTTATGATATCCAATTGGTAGTCTTGTCCCATCGCTGCAACTCCCGTACGGACTCGGGTGAGGCGAAGGTCGAGAGCCATGCATCCTCCGAAACACGGCCCTGCCAAGCCGCGCTGCTTCTTGACACACCGTTCGCTTAACCCGGATCTCAACCGCATCAATGTGTCGGAGGAAACACCGTACAACTGGCGACCGAAGTCAGTGTGCATGCGCCCGCGCGCCACAGGAGTCGCTAGAGCGTGATTAGACAAGGACATCCCGGCCAGCCTAACCCGGACGACGCTGGGCCAATTGTGAGCCGCCTCATGGGTCTCCCAGTCGCGGCCGGCTACAACACAGCCTGGGATCGAACCCGGGTCTGTAGTGAAGCCTCTTAGACCGCTGCATCAATCTACACACAATACCCCATAATTACAAAGCAAACACAGTTTTTTAGACATTTTTGCAAATGTATTACAAATAAAAACTGATATGACATTTACATAAGTATTCAGACCCTTTACTCAGTACTTTGTTGAAGCACCTTTGGCAGCGATTACAGCCTCGAGTGACGCTACAAGCTTGGCACTCCTGTTTTTGGGGAGGTCCTCCCATTCTTCTCTGCAGATCCTCTCAAGCTCTGTCAGGTTGGATGGGTAGCGTCGCTGCACAGCTATTTTCAGGTCTCCATAGATGTTAGATCGGATTCAAGTCCGGGCTCTGGCTGGGCCACTCAAGGACATTCAAAGACTTGTCCTGAAGCCACTCCTGCGTTGTCTTGGCTGTGTGCTTAAGGTCGTTGTCCTGTTGGAAGGTGAACATTCGCCCCAGTCTGAGGTCCTGTAAGCTCTGAAGCAGGTTTTCATCAAGGATCTCTCTGTACTTTGCTCCGTTCATCTTTCCCTCAATCCTGACTAGTCTCCCTGCCACTGAAAAACATCCCCACAGCATGATGCTGCCACCACCGTGCTTCACTGTAAAGATGGTGCCAGGTTTCCTCCAGATGTGACGCTTGGCATTCATCAGATCAGATAATCTTGTTTCTCATGGTCTGAGAGTCCTTTAAGTGCCTTTCGGCAAACTCCAAGCGGGCTGTCATGTGCCTTTTACCGAGGAGTGGCTTCCGTCTGGCCACTCTACCATAAAGGCCTGATTGGTGGAGTGCTGCAGAGATGGTTGGCCTTCTGGAAGGTTCTCCCATCTCCACAGAGGAACTCTGGAGCTCTGTCAGAGTGACCATCAGGTTCATGGTCACCTCCCTGACCAAGGCCCTTCTCCCCCGATTGCTCAGTTTGGCCGGGCAGGCAAATCTAGGAAGAGTCTTGGTGGTTCCAAACTTCTTCGATTTAAGAATGATGGAGGCCACTGTGTTCTTGGGGACCTTCAATGCTGCAGAAATGTTTTGCTACCCTTCCCCAGATCTGTGCCTCGACACAATCCTGTCTCGGAGCTCTACAGACAATTCCTTCGACCTCATGGCTTGGTTTTTGCTCTGACATGCACTGTCAACTGTGGGACCTTATATAGACAGGTGTGTGCCTTTCCAAATCATGTCCAATCAATTGATTTTACCACAAGTGGACTCCAATCAAGTTGTAGAAACATCTCAAGGATGATCAATGAAAACAGGATGCACCTGAGCTCAATTTCGAGTCTCATAGCAAAGGGTCTGAATACTTATGTAAATAAGGTATTTCTGTTTTTTATTTTAATACAGTGTCTCAGCCAGTGAAGAGCCCAGACCTGGTGGGTATATCCAATTTAAAGGGCTTTAAAACGTTGGGGAAGAAACGTCTATGAAATACGCCTTTGACCCACTGTCGCAGACTATGTCAATATGGACTCGTTACAGATTGTTAAACTTCTTTTGTTTTATGTCTTGCGCCTTGTATAATATTTCTGGAAGTGAATGTGGAATCATTGTTTTATTTTTCCTCCCTAATTATGGGAACATGAATAAGGAGACTTTCATTCCATTCCAGAAGAGGAAGCAGGGTATAAAATTCAAGAAACAGAAATCTTACACCGCACCATGTGGATCTTTATCATTTCTCCTCATGACAGTTTAATCTCCACTAAAGCCACACATTTCTAGGGAAACAAACAACCAATGATTATTATTTTGTGCAGAGCATGGATAATTAAATTGACAATCTGTCTTTTTTGTACTGGTATTGAAGAGTAACTAATGCATGCCCACAGCCCGGCATTCAGCATATTGACCAGTATGGCTGGTCGAGGGCCATCCTCAGGCTGCCGATTGCTGTTTGGGCTGTGGAAGAAGCACACATGGCTCTTTCTCTACATCGTTAAATTAGCGTTCGCAGAGCAGTGAATTAGGGAGGGAAGGTGTGGTGGAAGAGATTACCTGTAGTTAGGCTATACACTGATGGGCCTCTGTTTCATGGAAACGGCAGTTGTTTTTGTTTTCCTGATCGCCGCTTTGGGCTTCTTTAACATTGTATGGTCAGTCACTTCAATGTACTAGCTGTTTGTTTTTGTTATCCTACAGTGCCTATACAGACCTGATGAGTGTCAATAGGCCTAGCTCTGGTCTGTTAGGGTTGCTTTACCCCAGAAAGACATTTGTCACTCATTCTGTTTTGCAATGACGGCAAAACCATCAAAAAATATGCAGCTTTTCATGTTAATATTGTCCTGACGTATTCAAAATGACTTGTGTTTTGCTAATCTGTTCTAGTATAACAGGGATTTCTAGAGAACCCCAGAGGAGTTTTAGTGGTGTGATGTGATCCAAGCTGAATCCTTTAATTCAATTAGAAACGGCTGGCTCGACTTTCTAGAAAGTCGGCACGCTTCATTCCAAGATATTTTTTTTTAAAGTCCTCCGCTAACACAAGTGATGTACTGTGCTGCGTATTGCCTTGTTTGTTTAAGGAGAGGTTGAGATTTCATTAAAACATGAACAGTAAGTCCATTCAGGAGAGCAGAGTGCACCTGTTGAAATGTAACCAGTATTATTTGCTTTATTGATTTTACAAGGAAACCTGACGCTCTCTAGCAGACTAACATCTCAGAGAGGGGCTGGCTCTGTCACAGTGAGTGGGCTTTGCGGCTGCATTGTTGGCCGCTGGCCACTACAAACCATTAAGACACAATATGGGCACAGCAATAATTTAATTTGTCAGGGGCGTGTAGGGGTTGACCGTACACAGACAAAGTTTTGACAAAACTAACAAGTCACAGTTAGGTTAGAACAAAATTGCATAAGTGAGTTTTCTAGTTTCTGTGTCACTGGTATTGTCATAGATGATTAATTGCCATGTAATAGCGGTGTGATAAAGTAAACTGCCAGTTCTTTGCCACTGGCTTTGGTGTTTCTGGTGAAATCTGGTGAAATATCCTTTTGGTGAGTGGTGCTCAGTACAATATTTATTGTCCATCACTGTTGAAATGAGAGTGGTAAAACCCACCCTTGGTTATTGTCCATGTTAAGGATCTGTGGGTGGGTCTCCAGAGACCCTCCACTCCACCATACTAGACTCTATTGGAGTGGAATCAGTGTCTGCTCTCTGCTGCATCCCAGGAATCAATGAGTCACGCCATGGAAAGCCTCACCTCTCAACAGAAAAAAAACAGCCATCTTGGATTTGTCACACGTTTCATGCACAGTACAGTACACAGGCTCCCTCTATGTATAGACAGTGTCTGTGCTGTTCAGCATCCAGGAATCTAGGAGGAACACTTTGTGTCAGTTGAAAGATTGATAAACTGAAAAGTCAAAGTGAATGTGCATTTCAAAACTACTCTGTATTGATTGATTGCCCTTTGTAAAATGTTTGCCGCTTACAGCCTGTGTTTTTTCAGGTTGGATGTGCCTACATGCAGAACATAATTGACTTATGTGTGATTTGATGCTGTTGTGTGTTTTTCAGATGAAGAAGGAGCTGACTGACAATGACTCAATCACCCAGGAAGTTGTCGGCAATGCCCACATCGAAAACTATGCCTTAAAAATGTTCCTCTACGCTGACAACGAGGATCGATCTGGACGATTCCACAAGTAAGGCTACTTCTTCACTCACTGTCTTACTACCTGCTTAGCATGGGGAAAAGTCTTACTGTACTGTACTGTAGCCGCAGACAGCTCCCAGCCTCTTGAATCTCAGCATTGCAGTGGAGTGTTTCCAATTTTCTGGTTCCAATACGTAAGCCCTCATGATTACCATTTCCTTTCACTGAACCACGACACAAAATAATCACACCGTTGCTTTTGCACATGAAGGGAGTCCCTTCCAGAGTCTAAAATTAGCAACAAAGCCCTGTCTGTGTGAATATATTGCCACAGGGGCGAGATGATTCCTATTGGCCAAGCAGGTGTAGCGTTACAGGTCTGGCTGCCATAATGAGTGTGTCCTGGGCACTGACGTCAGCAGCAGGCTGGACAGTAGAGCAGAGTTTTCCAGGAACTGTGGGTGCCAGGTCAGGCCAGCCCGGGTCTCCAGTACTGCAGGCAGGGACTGGAGCTGCTCCACTGTCTGTGAGAGATAACAGCCCTGTTTTACACAGCAGCACTCCCATTACCTCAGGAACCACGCTCAACACTAATGAATACAGGATGCTGTCTCCTATGTGCTGATTCCAGGCCCCAGATACAGCGCCAGCCACAGTCCTGAACACGGGAGAGAAATGACATTTGAGTTTTACAGCTAGTAATTAAAGGCTTCATCAGTTTTGCATATGTCTGTTTCCCCATTCATCCTGTGCAATGTAGCAATTTGGTTGAAAAATGTTTTCCGCCTATATTCTAAGATGACAGGTTTTCAATAATCCGCTCATTTGTTTCTAAGCAACAAGCAATGTTTAATTAAAGCCCCTTTAAACTCTCACTCATCAGTTGGGTTGCAAGTCAAATCAACTGTTCTGATGATTAATATCCTTATCCCAACAAGTAAAACTTTGATATTTTGGGGAATCCATTGAGTATAAAGGGGTAATCATATAAGAAGCATTTGACTTTTATCCAGCTATAATGTTGTTGGCCGGTTATGGTCTGTGTATTTTCAAAGGCTTAAAATCGAGTCCGTACCAAAGTGTTGACAAATCTAATGTTTCAACTTCTGAATTGATCAGGAGGCTTTAAATCCATCTGTTCTAGTGAAAGATTTGATCCTTCAATTTAAAAAAGATAGTGCATGAAAGTAGGGTCAGATAAAATATCTCTTCGCTGGAAGCGTGGAAGTCATTCACTGAGGTCTTGTGAGGCTCTCTGTCCAGAGCCTTTGACATAATGCATGTAAATAGCCCGAGGCAGGCCCAGTTCCTGTCCAATATGCTGACCTCTGCAGAGCCAGCCAGATAAAAGCCATGAAAGCGCACACTGTTGTGTTGAGAATGTAGGCTGGAATGTGCTGTAAATTAACCTCCATGGCGTTTCAGCCCTTTCTGTTTTCACATTTGCCTCCCCTTCCCAACGACCGACCCCCTGCGTCATGAGAATCCAAATGCCAATGATGTTCATCAAGTACAAGTGAGAAGTGGGAGGAGTTGGACTTGCAAATCTTTCAGCAATAGGCCTAGATCTCTTTTTGTCAACGAGGGCTAGTTGTCTTACTGGCTGCCATGTATTGTTATTCAAGATGCATTTTGTTTTTCTTTTCATCTTACGATCTTGTTTCCCCAACACGACAGTTAAACGAACTACAAACCCACAAAAACATTGCTCAACCTTCAGTAAGGTCTGCAGAAGTAGCGGTCGGCCATGAATCGCCTCCCAGTGAACATCATCTTAGTTAACCTCAGGTTAAGGTGAAGTGATATGGAAGGGTTTACTGTGATCGATGGTTTCCACGGTGCTCTGCAGGACTAGTTCTTTGCAGAGGCAGACCATTAAATAGGAATGGATGAAGTGTGGTGAGCCTTGATTAATGCTGGCTGCAGACAGAGAGGGAGTGGCTGCTCTGCACTGTGTGTTGAAGAAAGGACACAGTATGGTTTCTGACTCACAAAATCATTTTTCATAGGAAATTGAAAACATTAAATATATACCCAGTGTTTAATAATGTATATTTAAACAAGGAATGCACTTGAGGCCAATATTGAGAAAGCCATATAGTATACGTACAGTATTTATTGATGACGTCATTTCTGTCAGTGGTAAAACTGGTGCCAGCAATGGTATGTAGACAAAAACGTAGAACCACATTTAAATTTTTTGAAAAATACAAATAAAACACGCTTGTCTTCAAGTCGGTATTACGAGGAGTAGGCTATATTAATATTCCACTCCGGCATAAAAAAAAGCCTTGATTTACAAGAAACTGGACCTACATAAACAAGCCATAAATGTTACGTTATGTCATGTGTGGAGGTGCAGAGTTTAATGTTTATGGGAACTAACCCTGAATAGGAAACTTCCTTCAGCTTTTCAATACATTGGTCTAGTTTCCGCTCTGCACTGCTCCACAACAAGTCTTACATTGACGTGGCACACCTCTGCACTGGAAGCCCCCAGAAAGCAAGCCCCTATCTTTCTGTGTTCTTTACATCCTTGTGTTTATGCTTCCTGGAACCAGCTGTGGGCTTTTATTACATTTTTCCTCCCTGCTTTGTGTCCTGTGATCTACACTGAATTCCCACAAGTGCTGTCACCTCTGAACTCTGACCCCAGACCCACAGTCCTCTCTTTTAGTGTCATAGTTTGATATTTACAGACCTGTTTGGGTCTTTGGATCCAATTATCATTCAACCACATAAGAGACAAATCCACATAAACTACATGGCCAAAAGTGGCCTGGCTCGCAGTCGGCGTTCCAATTCATCCCAAAGGTGTTCGATGGGGTTGAGGTCAGGGCTCTGCAGGCCAGTCAAGTTCTTCCACACCGATCTCGACAAACCATTTCTGTATGGACCTCGCTTTGTGCACGGGGGCATTGTCATGCTGAAACAGGAAAGGGCCTTCCCCAAACTGTTGCCACAAAGTTGGAAGCACAGAATCGTCTAGATTGTCATTGTATGCTGTAGCGTTAAGATTTGGAACTAAGGGGCCTAGCCTGAACCATGAAAAACAGCCCCAGACCATTATTCCTCCTCCACCAAACTTTACAGTTGGTACTATGCATTGGGGCAGGTAGCGTTCTCCTGGCATCCGCCAAACCCAGATTCGTCCGTCGGACTGCCAGATGGTGAAGCGTGATTTATCACTCCAGAGAACGCGTTTCCACTGCTTCAGAGTCCAATGGCAGCCAGCTTTACACCACTCCAGCCGATGCTTGGCATTGCACATGGGGATCTTAGGCTTGTGTGTGGCTGCTCGGCCATGGAAACCCATTTCATGAAGCTCCCGACTAACAGTTATTGTGCTGACGTTGCTTCCAGAGGTAGTTTGGAACTCGGTAGTGAGTGTAATAGACTATTTTTACCCGCTACGTGCTTCAGTTCTCGATGGTCCCTTTCTGTGAGCTTGTGTGGTTTACCACTTCGCGGCTGAGCCGTTGCTGCTCCTAGACGTTTCCACTTCACAATAACAGCACTTACAGTTGACCGGTGCAGCTCTAGCATGGCAGAAATTTGACGAACTGACTTGGAAAGGTGGCATCCTATGACGGCGCCACGTTGAAAGTCACTGAGCTCTTCAGTAAGGCCATATTACTGCCAATATTTGTCTATAGAGATCACATGGCTGTTTGCTCGATTTTATACAGCTGTCTGCAATGGGTGTGGCTGAAATAGCTGAATCCACTAATTTGAAGGGGTGTCCACATACTTTTGTATATATAGTGTATTTGATAATTATAGAATTATCCATGTTCTGTGGAGCAGCCTAATCCGTTCTTGTAGAAGACATTTGTCACAGTTGGCAGTTTTAAAACAGTGGGTCTAATGACTTCAGTATGCCTTAATTCACTTATTTTTTTCTGTCTTTCTTTGTAGGAATATGATTAAGTCCTTCTACACGTCTAGCCTTTTGTTAGATGTCCTGTCAGTTTTCGGCGAGTTATCGGAGGAGGTAAGTAATGTTTTGTCATTTAGCATACGCTCTTATCCAGAGAGCACATCAACAGGTTTTTCACCTAGTCGGCTCTGGGATTCGAACTATATTAACTACAGTGGGGGAAAAAAGTATTTAGTCAGCCACCAATTGTGCAAGTTCTCCCACTTAAAAAGTTGAGAGAGGCCTGTAATTTTCATCATAGGTACACATCAACTATGACAGACAAATTGAGAAATAAAAATCCAGAAAATCACATTGTAGGATTTTTAATGAATTTATTAGCAAATTATGGTGGAAAATAAGTATTTGGTCACCTACAAACAAGCAAGATTTCTGGCTCTCACAGACCTGTAACTTATTCTTTAAGAGGCTCCTCTGTCCTCCACTCGTTACCTGTATTAATGGCACCTGTTTGAACTTGTTATCAGTATAAAAGACACCTGTCCACAACCTCAAACAGTCACACTCCAAACTCCACTATGGCCAAGACCAAAGAGCTGTCAAAGGACACCAGAAACAAAATTGTAGACCTGCACCAGGCTGGGAAGACTGAATCTGCAATAGGTGAGCAGCTTGGTTTGAAGAAATCAACTGTGGGAGCAATTATTAGGAAATGGAAGACATACAAGACCACTGATAATCTCCCTCGATCTGGGGCTCCACGCAAAATCTCACCCGTGGGGTCAAAATGATCGAAAGAACGGTGAGCAAAAATCCCAGAACCACACGGGGGGACCTAGTGAATGACCTGCAGAGAGCTGGGACCAAAGTAACATTTACATTTACATTTTAGTAATTTAGCAGACGCTCTTATCCAGAGCAACTTACAGGAGCAATTAGGGTTAAGTGCCTTGCTCAAGGGCACATTTACGTCATTTAGCAGACGCTCTTATCCAGAGCGACTCACAAATTGGTGCGTTCACCCTATAGCCACTGCAATAACCACTTTACAATTACAGCTGCAAGTCTCTTGGGGTATGTCTCTATAAGCTTGGCAAATCTAGCCACTGGGATTTTTGCCCATTCTTCAAGGCAAAACTGCTCCAGCTCCATCAAGTTGGAAGGGTT